TGCCGAACGCAAGGCCGAAAAAGAGCGTCAACAGAGGGAGCGCAACACCAAAAAACCTATACAATTGTCCCAAAGAGGCAAGCGCAAGGCCTCAGAGGTTGCAGCACCCAGGAAGAAGCAGAATCGTGGTAGTGCAGCTGCCCGTAGTTGTGCTGCTGCCGCGCCTTGCTCCCCATCCCCTCTGGCAAAATACAACAGCCGCGGCCGCCCAATCAGAGTGCCACAAAAGTTTGAGTGAGGAACTTGTTCATATAGGTCTATAGACTACTCCACCAGAAAATCTCATGATAATAACCATTGTGTGTGGCTCTACAGCCTCATTTTTGGTGGACCTATTTTGGTGGTTCGGCGCATTACGCGAATCCGCGCATTACGCGCACGGACACGGTACAGACCCACTTTGTTTTAGCGGTCCGTCGCGCCTCGCGTACCGTAATTCTTTCTGCAACACGACAAAGAATCACCGAAGAGACAAGACAAATCATGTAACTACTAAGTCGACTATCGTATACTCTAACAAGCGTCAGCTTGCATGTCTCTCCAATGAGATCTAAAGACCCCAGATCGCGCTATACATGCACCTAATGACGCCCCGCGGCATCTAGTCAACCAAACCTTCCGAGACTCTTAGATCATCGTCAACGTCATGTAAAGAGCTGCTACTGGTGACCTCGAAATGGCTGTCAAGCAAAAGGCGAGCCTGTCGCGTGAACTTCGACGCAAAAAGCATTGACTAGAAACCAGTGCTGTTGATCTGATCTCGTACCACGATTCGAATCAAGGATGTCGCACCTTTCAATCGGCTTCGAAGACACAACGGAACTTCCCTCACGGTACCCGCTCACCAATGTCTTGTCACTACCATACGAACTCCTTCAGTCGATCCTGAGCTCTATCGCGAACTTCGAACCATGGACGTACTCTTCGAATACGAGATGTGCAGATGCAACCATTACCGACAAGGATGTGCTGCTGAGCACTCGCGACTTGACGCCTCTCAACCTGGCCTCAATCAATCGACACATACTAGGGCTCTCCAGCACGAACGATTGGCTCATGCTGACACTTTCCCGACATCCTTATCGCCTGTCCCAAAGTGACAAGGGTGGCATACTATCGGCTATCACACAGGCGCTGAGGAGAATGAATGCACGACTTGAGCGGATGCACTGGGCTGGGAGAAAGTCGAATGCCAGTCCTCAGATACTTGGAGACCGTGAAATCGCCAGTTCCAAGAATCTCGACACGGCGAGCGTGCAGGACGCTCCGGTCTACGATGATAGCTTTGACCAAACGCCAAGCGACATACCCATGAAGCAGTATTTTGCCAGTGTCCAGTCCGAAGAGGAGTCGTACACAAACGAGTACATCCTGACCAGACCGATGTGCGCTGCACGACCCTTCAATGGCACATCTTCCTCCACGTCCGCCGTCGTCGTATACGATCCAACGCCCATACTTAAGCTCAGCAACCTGGACATTGCGCAACGTGTGCGTCAATCAGAGCTACCAAGAGCTACAGAGCAATTTGCTGCTCTCCTTGTTGCTGTCCTCATTACGCTTGCTCCACGTCGTCTGTCACTTCTCGAAAACCTCGAGAAGCTCGAGCGCGACACACCGATCCCAACCATCGAGCCCTGCGAATGCAGGGACTTCGCGACATCGAAGACAAGTTTCCGGACTGACCGGCCGCGCAGCTTGTCAGGCTCGACTGTCGCCGAGTTGCTACCACATGAGGAGACATTGTCGTTCTCTACGATTTCAACGGTGTATAGCTCGGACAGAAATCATGACGTGCGGTCGGCCGAGAAGAGGGAGAGCGAGGAGAAAGATGTGGGAACATCCCCTAAAAGACCGAAGTTGAGCGAGTACAAGCAGGTGAGCAGTGGGCGGGTCGCGACGCTTATGGATCGGTTCGAAAAGTTTCATCTTTGAGTCAGTCTGCCGGTCGTGCAAACACGTCACCAAGAGAGGGAGGAGGTTTGTGTTTGCGCAAGTACATGACCATTTCTTGCAGACCTCGATCACCGAACTCGGTCAGTCGATGATTAGCGAACATCACGTTGTCTGTCTTTGGCGTCTACAAAGCAGGACCCTCTGGGCTCACAACGCACAGCCTCCATTTAATATCACGGTACATATTACTCAAGTGCAAGCACACCTCGCTTTGTTAGTAGGGTTGTATTCTCAAGGCAGCCTGCGGTGGTGCCCGGGCGACCCCGATATATTCACTGGAGCTCCACCAGTCCCGACGGGGCCATGCCACGGTGTTGCTAGGCGTACGCATCCGCGCGCGGACAGTGAAGCGCGTGCTTCACCTTACACTCCCCTCTCCTTTTCCTGTCACAACGCACAAAACTTTTCTGTCTCCATCCGCAGGCGCCATCCTAACTCGCGCCGCTCACTGTACAGGTCGGTTCCAGGATACTGTTACTCCTACGCCATGCCAATTCTGCGCTGCAGCTCTGACCTCCGCCATCCACAACGAAGCTCTGAACGCGTGATAAGGGCCGACTACGAGGCATTTCTCTCCAACCGCAACCTATACCCCTCTGCTCTTTGTAAGTGTATGAACATTGTGGAAAGAACTGTGTTGGCTTCTCGGACCCGGGGCAACGCGCCATCTGGTTTCATTGATCAAGCTTGATATAGTGATGCTTAGTACCACCAGGAAGTACTTGGACGTCTTCAGGATTTTCGGGTTGTGCCGCCTTATCATCAAGCAGAAAGTCGATGTGGATCTCGCTGCACATGCGAGATACCTTTGGGTTATGTTGCTACACTGCCAGCACTTCAACTCGGCCTCGTCGAGTGCATACTTGGCGTCTTTGTTCCAGGTCCGGATCGCATCCAAGGCAATGCTGCAGCGCAGCCAACCAAATCCAGCACCGCGTTGCAGGTCTGATTTGCGTGTTCGATGCACATGGCCAAAGAAGCCAGTAGTCACATTCCCTCTCCTCGCGAATGGCGCTTGGTGCCCCTGCCCAGCAAGCGAATCCGTCCGACCATGAATACTGGGATAGTTGGGGTCAGCAGGTGGGGCCAGCAGGGTCTGCGGTTCCGACCACTTCATCGTATGTAGCGTGAGCGCCACAAGCAGAGCCCGGGCCTGTGCAGCCTGCAAGATCGGGACGCATTACAGCCCTGACAAGAGCGTTGCGCGAGCCTGCATGTGGCGCCAAAGCACATTTTTTGCATCAACGTAGATCCCCGGCTAAGCGGGGAGGGCGCTTGGGTGCTGAATGGAGTTTACGGTAGTGAGTGGTGAACCGAAGCTTGCGAAAGGAGTGCGACGGTGATGATGTTGGATGATGAGGAGGCAGTGGCAGTTGCCGAAGCAGGAGAGTCGCGCAATGTGTGCGAAGGAAACAGTGTGCGGTGTTCATTTCTTCGTTCGAAACATGAGCATATATCAACAAGTACCCGCCAAAGCGATCAACAATCAGGATGTACAGCCCCACCTGGCCCATCACTCGCTATTCCCGCCCTCCAACCCTCCTCTCGTAGTCATCCTCGAGCCTGGATGCATCGACCACCTCCACGCCTTTTCCTAGACCGACCATGTCGGCACTCTCCCACCACTTGCTGACATGGTGCTCCGACGCCTTGCCCTTCCCTCCCGGTGCCTCATCATCTGTATCAACGAGGCCGCCGAGGCCTGTGCCGTCACTGCCGACCACGACAACGGTCTGGCCGACCCATCTCTTGATGTCCTCGACATTGCGGCCCTGGACGCCGCTGAGTGCATCGACGAGGTAGACTAGCTGTGGGCCGATGTGGCGGAGCATGTGTACGAATCCCGAGGGCGTGCTGAAGGGCAACACCATGGCCGCGTTCTCGACCAGCCTTAGCGCCTGGGAGTGGAGCGTGTTCCAGAGGAGGGTGTCTGCGGAGCGGGCCGACAGCGCGGGGGTGTAGAGCTGGTGGTCTGGCTGAGGGTCGGGCTGAGGGTCGATGGATGTCAGTTCCTCGCCAGGTGTGCGTGCTGGTGTGCTGATGGCAGAGTATGAGGAGCCAAGGGGGGAGGAGCGGTCGCGCGACTGGCTGCGAGAGCCGGGCCGGGAGCGCAGGGAGGGAGAGTAGATCAGGACGAAGAGCCTGGTCTTGGAGAAGTCGGTGTCGGGGAGGTGGGAGAGGATGGTCTGGCGAGGTTAGCTGTCATGTCGATGTGGGTAGAGGGCGATGCGTACGGCATTCTCCGAGCGGTAGGAGCCATCGTGATCCTGTGAGCCCGTCAGGGCCTCGGCGGATACGACGAGCACGACGGTCTTCCTCTTGCCGCCGGCGCTGCCTCCGCTGCCTCCGCTGCCTCCGCTGCGGACCGAGGCAGCGAATGCGCGGGCCTGCTCGTCTACTGCGGACGAGCTCTGTGCGGACTGTGCCTCGACGTTGCGTCGGATGGCAGCCTCTTCGGACCAGCGGGTGTGGTCGCCATAGTCGTCCTTGTCCTCCTCGCGGATGCTGGCCAGCGCTGCGCCGGCGGCCGCCCAGCCGGCGGCAGTCTTCTTGCTCACCGTGTCGAACACCTGCTGGGGGCTCGGCGTGCGGCGGATCACGCCCTGGACGCGCGACACCAGGTCGTCCTGGGGCACGACGCCCTGCGACAGGCCCGTGTTGTCGCGGTGGAGAGGCGCGCTGCTGCCGCCGCCGTGGGTGGTGCGGCGCGGCGTCTTGCCGTCGCGCTCCTCGCCGTAGCTGAGGTTGTCGTCTTCCGAGGACTCGTCTTCGTCGTCGCGGCGTTCGGACCACACCCAGGCCGCGAGCCCGGCGGTCGCGACGGTGACGGTGAGGACTAGGGGCACCCAGTAGCTGTCACCACGTTAGCTGGCCTGCACCACCGTCAACGCGGTGCGCAACGCTGCGTCGTACCCAAGTGTGGAGCGCGTCCGGGCCGCAGGCTGTCGGCGGTCATAGCGGTCGTAGTTGAAGGACATGGTGCGCGCTGCTCATGTCATCCTCAGGTTGTTGTGGTGCCGGATGCGCTGAAGGGCACAGCTCGGGTTGGTGTTGTGGCTGGCCGCTCGGGTTGGTGTTGTTGTGGCTGGGGAAGCTGCATGCACGGCGTGTGCCTGCCGAGGGACCGCGGGCGCCATCAGCGCGCCATGACTCGCGCGCGCGACCAAATTCCAAAAGTTTGGCGGGGTGACTCTTGGAGCGACCGGAGCGACCTGAGCGACCTGAGCGGCCTGCACGCACGACCTGCACGCACGACCCAGCCCAGCAGCAGCTTCCTGCAGCGCCCGCCTCGACCCGTCGCCACCTTTTTGCATTCACCCCGCGCAGCAGCAGAGCCCCGTGTTCAGCATGCCCCACGCTGCACTGCCCTCGCCGGGCTTCCAGGCGCTCATCCTGTGCGGGCCCGGTGCGTCGTTCAGCACGTTCACGTCCACGCCCAAGGAAATACCAAAGGCGCTCCTGCCCATCGCGAACAGGCCTATGGTCTGGTACCCGCTCGAGTGGTGCTACCGCATGGGCGTCACGGGTAGGATCACCTACTACATGCACTGGTGCGTCTTGCTGGCCGTGCTGACCCTGCTCAGACATCACCGTTGTCACGCCGCCAGAGTCGCTGGAGGCCATCGAGGCCGCCATGTCGCAGAACCCGCACCTCACATCGCTGCCCGCGCCGCGGCCCGAGACGGTCGCGCCCAGGGACCTCACACACGAGACCGGCACCGGCGACCTCCTCAGGCTGCCCGAGGTGCAGAGCGCGATCAAGGGCGACTTCATCGTGCTGCCCTGCGATCTGGTCTGCGAGCTCGACGGCACTGCGCTCGCAGATGCCTGGATGGTCGAGCAAGCTGGCTTCCCCGGCGCAGTCGCTGGCTCACAAGCGATCGGCGGCAAGACGGCATTCGGCGCGGGCGGAGAGAGGGTCGGTCGAAGGGGCGGCCTCGGTGTGTGGTACCAGACAAAGGGCGAAGGCAGCAAGAAGGGCGAGGAGACCGACTTCATCGCGACTACCCCGATGCCCACGCCAGTCGTCCCCCCGCCCGCCGACTCGATACGCCGCGACATCGCTAACCTCGTCTACTCGGTCCCCACCGACACCCTCAACGACATCACCGAGGAACACAAGGCCTTCCCCGTTCGCCACTCGCTCATTCGCAAGCACGCCCGCGTGCGGATGCTGACGACTCACCGCGACGCTCACCTCTACTTCTTCCCCTACTGGGTCGCCGAGATGATCCGCAGGAACGACAAGTTCGACAACATCAGCGAAGAGGTGCTGGGCTGGTGGGCCAAGGCGGGCTGGCAAGAGGGCGTGGGCGACAAGCTGGGTCTGCGCGAGATCTTCCAGGGCAGCGACGACGCCAGCTCAGACGGCTCGCTGGTGGTCGAGGAGGAGATCGATGTCTCCAGGTACAGCAGCACATACTCCGGCGCCGCCGCCACAAACGGCACAGGCACGCCGTCCATCCTCGCCTCGCGCGTCCTCGGGTCTTCCAGCATACCCGAGAGCGCAAAGTCGCTCACTTCAAGACCAAAGCTTACCGTGCCGCCCATCCTCGCATACGTCCAGCCTTCCGCACCCACAAACCCGCTCATTCGCCGCGTGGACACAGCGCATCTCCTCCTCGCCGTCTCGCTGCGCCTCGCCAAGCTCCCCGAGAACAGCACTTCGCCTTTTGCTTTCGCCAACAAGATCGCACCGTCGACCGCACACTCGATACCGAAGAAGTGCAGGGTCGAAGCCGAGAACAGCCTGCTCGCCGACAACGTCGATGTGGCAGAGAAGACAAACATCAAGGAAAGCGTCATCGGGTCGAACTGCAAGATTGGCGAGGGCGCGCGCCTGTTGAGGTGTCTGCTTATGGACGGTGTCGAGGTTGGCACGAACGTACAGCTCACGGACTGCATTTTGGGCAGGAGGTGCAAGATCGAGGGCGGCGGTGCCAAGGACAACGACAAGACAGTGCTCAAGGATTGCGAGGTACAAGACGGCCAAGTAGTCGAGTGGGGTACAGAGAGCAAGAACGAGAAGTTCATGAGGTTTAGTGTTGGTATGGGTGAGGAGGGAGACCTCGGAGATGAGGAGGACATGGACGATGCAGGAGAGGGTTTGGCGCTCTAGAAGGGCTGCAGGAGTGGTCAAATGAATAGGAATGATACCCATCAAACGAGCCCAAGGTTTTTTCCATGGTGCGCCACTCTCTCGCTGACGACCTCCACAACACGTCTTCTTTCACACACTCTCGCTGACGACCTTCACAACACATCTTCTTTCACACACTCTCGCTCGCCCGCACGAACTCACCGCCCTCAGCTCTTCGAATACGACCTGTATCGTCTCCTCGTTCACAGTAACTAGTCGCGAGTCGGCCGTTGCTCCCAACCATTCAGCTACCTGAAGACCTCCAGCCTGGACCTCTCACTACAGAGGTGTGGGCTGGCCGTCCAAGCCCTGAAACCGGTCCTTCGACATGCATTGGCCCAGCTGGGGGTTTACACCCACCTCTCCCGGCACATTTCCCAACGATGAGATGCAGCCTTACACGTATCGACCGCTCCTGTCTGCCAAGAACAGCATCCGCCTACTACAAATACTGCCGGGGACTTCCAGGAACAGAAATCCACTGCCAAGTCGTCGACTACACAATTCCAGAAGGTCCTATAGCTGGGCTGTTCGAGGCGCTGTCCTACGTGTGGGGCGACCCTACTAAGAAGTTCCGAACCTACGTCTCGGACCTGCCCTCTCATGTCGAACCAGCTACCGCTCAGGGTTACCCTGACACCACCGAAAACTTATTCACGGCTCTACAACAGCTTCGAGACCCGGCTCTGCCTCGTTCAACGTCGATCGATGCTGTCTGTATTAATCAGGATGATCTGATGGAGCGTGCGAACCAAGTCAAGTTCATGGCGAGGATCTACTCACACGTCAATCGCTTGGTTGTTTGGCTCGGGACCGAGGAAAATGAGAGCGCGGAGCTATTCGCTCTGATTGAGGACGTGGCAAACATCATCTGGCGGTCTCCGCCCGACCCTTTACCTTCAGCAATCAACCTGATCGAATATTTCCAGAGTGAAGATGGGACCGCCCACGCCGATCAACAATCGTCCCTGAAGCGACTGCTTGTGACATTCCTGAGCCGACCGCGGTTCTACAGAGTTTGGGTACTGCAAGAGGTAGCTGCTGCCCAACATATTGCCGTCAAATGCGGCGTAGTAGCAGTATCTGGGTCTGTCTTCATCACAGCAATGCAATATCCATAAAAAAATAAAAATAAAAAGTCAAGCTTTACTCCGTGTTCCTCATTGGAGGAGAAGCTGGACAGATGTCACCTTCACGAATCAGCGTGATAAGGTCTTCGCTATGCTGGGAATGTGTAGTCCTGAGACTTTGAATGTCATTGCGCCCGACTATACGAAGCCTCGGGAGACCATATGAACACATGCCATGAAGCATATCCTCAGGCCTCAAGCCATCGTCTCCAGGTGGAAAGAGTACGGAGACCGATCTTGTGTGGATTCGTTGGAACTATGAGAGCGACCAAGGTCAACAAGACAACCGTTCCGAGATTACTGCAATGCACGGCTTAAATCTCGCACTCAAGGATCACGGCTGTTTCTCACGACCGTGTATTGCCTCTTTATCTCGGCGGGCGTCACCAACTTCTTTTGTTGCAGTAGTTGCAATAAATGAAGGTGTAACCGCGCAAGGCAGTGAGTCAGGGGGGAACCGATATATTGTGTTGTTCTTGTTCAGTGTTGTATGATTGCCTCTCACCCGGCAGTCTTGTTTACATGACGTTTGTTGAAACAGGCAAGAGCACTGCACCAACACACATGACACCTTTACTCCATAAACCGTCACATCTTTCCACGAGTGGTCGTGACCCTTGGCTATAACCGGACCACGACACTTGCCCTAGCAGCTCCACCGTTTGTACTCTGCTGCATAGTCATTTTGATCATGGTTTTTCGCTCCGATCGTACTGGGGAACGCTACTGCCACATCGTCTTTCCACTGAGCGTCACCCTGGTCGCCAACATCATCGCTGTCTCAACCTTGAGCACAGCAGGCCGATACATCGCCATGATGCTGATGCCACCGTCATTCTATGCGGCCTTTGCTGTTCTACTGTCCTGGATCACCGGCACTTGAGCCAGCCAGTTGCCAGACGTACGTCCGCCATCGCACCCATTATCTCAGTGTGCAACACAACGAATGTATGGGCACCATTATCTATACAACGGCGCACCTTGGCACTTTGTAGCATTCACGGTTAGCCTAGTCGCTTCTGCTACAGCTTTTGTTGTGGCCACAGTGACCAGGCTGTATCTAAGGAAACAGAATCAGAAACTGGACTGGGGGGAGCTCACCGGCAAAAGTGGACCAACCGAAGCGCAAATCGCAAGTGGCTTTCGATACCAGTTGTAAGACCATGTTACAACGTATCGTGGAGATTGCTCTGTTCTGCGCTGTGCAGTCCAAGCTGGGACTTACGACATGCTGAGAACTGGTTTGTGTGCCATGCTGCGTGCTCTCATGCAACCGAAAAAGCCTGAATCGAGTAATAGACTGCCACCACACCGCGCCATCAGCACAATAGGCTGAATGTCTATATGCTGTATTCATGATTACCGTGAAATCCCAGTACATATTCTTATCCTTTGGCATTGCTCATCAACAGTTCTCATAGCCCAAGCTCGGGTTTTATTTATCATTTATCAAACGAGAGGTCTGGCAGCTCCAACTACCAATGCTCGATATGGATTGGCGACCTCCACGCCCCTACAAGCAATTATCTGAGGAGAAACAGGTAGTTTTCACTCGGAGGATGTTGGATTTCGCGCTGTAGCGAAATTCGGTAATATTCTCTCCAAAGTCGTCCGCATTCAGCCGGTGGTAGCAGTCAGACTCACTCTGAAACAAGCTCTTAAATTATATCACTCTAACGAGATGGAAGGGACGATTGCAAGCAGTGGCTTCAAGAATCGGGCCGCAAAGCTTAATCAATCACCAATATTACCAATGTACATCCTACAGCCATGTCGCACCTATTCGGCGGGTAGAAGAAGAGCACAACTGCAGTGAGCGTAGACATTTGCCCAAGCTTATCACACCTACTAGACTTGACAAACGGTCGGCGTGATGTTATCATCACATCTTCTCTTCGTGGCGTTTCTAAGCAGCGGCGTAAGCGCAGCAAGACTCTATGCATCCCACTACTCCGGCACGATCAACATCTTGAACCTGAATGGAAACACCTTGACGCTCGTAAACTCGACGAGCACCGGAAATACGCTACCAAGCTGGATCACCTATGACAGCCCTGGCAAGGCGCTGTACATCGCAGATGAAGTCTTCTACGGCGCATCATCAGGGAATCTCGCTTCCTTCTCCATCAGTAGCGATGGTGCTTTGAAGGCCTCTGGAAAAGGTCCTACAGCGATGGGCGTGGTAGCAACAACCCTCTACGGAGGAGCAGACGGAAGGTCTTTCATCGCCAACGCGCACTAGTTCGTACCCCCCCAAAGACACTCAATGCTTGGTCCATCGTTAACGGACGCAGTCAAACAAGCCAGATCTCGACGTTCAAGCTTCCGCTCACCGGCGCCCAGCCCTTGCAAACGTTGAAGTACACCATGGACGGCCCAGGCAAAATCCCGAGTCGCCAAGATGCACCACACCCGCACCACGTTTTCACAGACCCAACAGGGGACTACTTGATAGTACCAGATCTTGGTGCGGATCTTATTCGGATCAAACGCATTGATCGTAGTTCTGGCAAGCTAACAGAATGCGGGACCGGCAAACCGGTGCCGGGCACCGGGCCACGTCATGGAGCGTTCTGGGGTTCCGGGGCGAACACCACCCTGTTCATCGCCAACGAGTTGTCAAACTCAGTCTCTGGATGGAAGGTCGCCTACCCATCAGCATCCACCGGATGTCTGATACTGACACTGCAGGACACCTTGACGCCGTACCAGGGCAATGCGTCCGCACCCACGGGAACCAAAGTTGGTGAAATCCACGTCAAAGACAACTTCGTGTATACTTCAAACAGGAACGACAAGAGGTTTTCAGGAAATGATTCGATCACGCAGTATAACATCGCTTCAGGAGGCAAGATCACCTGGGTGGAGAACACGAGCAGTTACGGGACGTACCCAAGGTCATTCGATATCAACAAGGCAGGAGACTACATTGCTGTTGGTGACCAGACAACCAGTAATGTTGCTGTTGTGGCAAGGGATACGGTCACGGGTCGATTGGGAAAGATGGTAGCAACTTTGAGGATCGGGGCTGCTGGGACGCCCGAGAACGAAGATGGATTAAGCGCCGTAGTGTGGGCAGAGTAGATTAGAAACACCCTTTGAACAGACTATCGATCGTCTACTATTACTCTAGCTCGCCATTAATGATGCGTAGTCTCCACTCCCACTTAAGCGACGGCTGTAGATGCCTGCACAAGGATGTCGGAGGCAGAGCACCTCTTGCCGGTAACTTTATCACAAGTCCTCTTGAACTTGTCTGATGTGCCCTTGACGGTGACGTTTGTGCCACTGAGGGCAACCGTCTGGGTCAGTGTAAGCTCTGTTCCTTTGTTAGCAGAGATTCTTTGGAAGCATGCGTTGGCATAGAGCAACATACGGTACAAGTACCCATCGTCGTAGCCGGCCGCCTCAAACGTGTAGCTGAAAGACTCAGGATCGCAGGTGAGCTTGTTGATCACCTCGCCATTGAGCATACCCTGGAAGTGGCAGTTCACAGGGATGTTGTCGGTGAGCTGAGCGTTGGCGTAGACGCCGGTAACGGTCTCGGTGCGCTGCTTGTCCGAGCCACCGGTCGATGTGATGGAAACGTTCCAGGCGCCGTAGTCGGCACGGGGAATGACAGTCGCAGTGGCAGCGGCGGCCATGGTGGCAACGGTAGCGATTGTGAAACGCATGTTGATAGGTTTTGGGAAGTGTTTGAGTGTTGGTAGCGAGTGTGTGTAGCGATGACGAGATGCAAGATGTACTCACCGAGGGACAGCCTCGCAAAGCTTATATACAAGCGTCGCTCGTATTCAACGTCACTGATGACTTGAGAGAAAGCACGGTATGAGGCAGGAGAATTGCTAATTTTGGATGATCTTCGTGAGGGTGGAGACGTGTATAACGTAGCATGAACGTTGATTGTCATAGCGTTGCGAGCGCGGCTTGAAATCGCCTCTCGCTCCATAGAAAATCTCCGAGTAGTGGAGCCGAGCCGATGTCTCGCACTGCAAAAACAAAACTTAAACGTTGAAACTCGAATGGCAGAACGCATTCGCAGACTGCAAAGACGAATTCGACAGGAGTGTATAGAATGCGAAGCAATGAAGATTTTTGAAGGTGAGTGTAGTTGACTACCAGTGCTGCTAGTGAGTGGTATGTATAAACAGGGAACCACACAGATAGCACGACCCGCGGATTCCGAGCTAGCACGGGTGCTGTTTGACATTACGAAAAAGGAGGGAGACACTCTGTCCTGGTATGCTGCATTGATGCAGAAGTCTGATTGATTATTTCCGTCTGCTTGCATGACGGCGCGGACACATTTACCCTACTTCTCCCGCTGCTCATTGCCAAAGCGGCAACAAACACGACGATGCGCAACCAATCCAGCCAATCCTTACGTTGAAGAGTCCCAACCCGAGGTCTTGCCATGTGCAACGCTGGCGATACCATCCACTTGGCCACGAGCGCGAAGTTACACGGTTATCCCGAGGCTCTTTGGGTATCGATGGCTTATCCCCTCATTCGCCATTGACGGTCGCATCCTTTTGGGGGAAGACTTTGCTGCTCAAGTCAAGAACAGGTAGTGGACACGGAATGCCGACAGCCTCGCAAGCGGTGAGAATGGCCAGGTACCAGCCACAGATGAGACCGATGAATCCAAACCCTCCAGCAATGTGGAGCAGCTTGTTGATGTGCTCCACATCAGCTTCATTCGTAGCATGTCCGACCCGGAAGTCAGCAGCAGCGATGAAAGAGAAGAGCATGATGAGGCCGAAGAATGTCAGTGTGAAGAAGACATTTACGCGGAAAGTGCCCATGAAGAATACAAAGCTTGCGATTGCCCTAGGTCAGAGTCAGTCGCTTGTATCACTGAGTCTCTATCATCGAAGGTACACACATTGTGACGTTGTGAAAGCCCTGAGATGAGTTGTACGCTGCGCCATTAGCGCCGCCAAGCTCTGTGAAAGGTGCAGTCGTCTGGTGGATCGGGTCTTGGGTATATGCGAGACTGCCCCAATGGCTGCCGTAGATGAGGAAGACTGCCATGGGGAAGGCTGAACGAAGCTATCAGTACTCTAGCGTGACTTGTGTTTCAATTGAGGTGCACTCACTGTTTCCAAGGATGAACTCCGCAATTCCGGCAAGATTCATAGCGATGCAACCAAAGAAGTAGTAATCACCGCTCAGTCCGATCAAACTCTGCGGTGCGACGGCACCTTGGAAGCCGCAGAGTATGAGAATAGTCGATGTGTATGGAATTAAGAAACCAATCAGTCCGAGCAGTGTCGGATTACCTAATGGTCAGTCAGTCTAGTCCCCGACAATCCACGTAGAATACTGACCGAATCGTTTTGCAAAGTCACCACGGCGAGGTGCTGACGGTTGGAAGAACAGGCGTTCATACTGCTCAGAGCTCAGCTGAACGGTGACTTGACGACTCAGCTCAGCGCCGTTGCCAACGAAGTTATGTCCGTTGTGTTCGCGCATCTCTTGGTCAATCTTGTGGACGTCAGACATGGTCGCAATGGATGTTGTTGAGACTGAAGCGAATAGCAACAGAGGGTCAAGAAAGATCGAGATGTCAATCCGAGCAACTGGAGACGATCCAGCGGCGGTACCCACGCAGGCGGATCCCCGAGTCTTTATTGTTGCAATGTTTCAAGCAGGAGGCATGCCGGACATGGTGCTGGATGGCATCTCCAGATAACGTCGTCGTCATCTCCACAGCCAGCCGAGGCAAGAATGGTCGAGTCCTGTGGATTTGCCCCAGTTCCCCAGGCTCTCCGCATGTTTGCTCCACATCTACCTCCCTTTGTGCGGAGGAGATAGGGGGCAGTGGGCCTTGGATGGATTTTACGATGCGATGGTTGGTGGAAGCGGCTGTTGGGCCGGCAGATCAAGCTTTTGTCAAGCACCGGTGGCGTCCTGAAGCACCCGCTCCGCGGCTCGGCAGGTGCAAGATGATCCAAAGAGGAAGGTGACGTCGGTACAAGCCATCGCGACAACGTTGACGTACAGTTGCCAGAGCTCGCTCTGTGGCCGGGATGATGTGGTCAAACCAGTAAAGAGGTTTATATAATTTAAATTTAGTTGCTAGATGCTAGAAGCTATAGAACCAATCAAACCGTGCTTACGAGCTTTGCCTGGAGTACGACTCCAAACAGAAAGCAAGTTGAATCTGGTTTTGTGCATGACTCTAAAGGGGTGATAGGCAAGGAGCCAAGGTAGAGGCCGTGCTAGTGCAAGGTAGAAGAGAAGCTAGCCAATCTGATTGCCCTCTTGGACTGCCCTAGTGGGTACTTCACTTGTTTTGGACTGGAATACAATATTGTCGCACATCGGCCTCCGTCATGGTTTTCATATGCAAAGGCCCGCAGGTGGAAAAGGAAGCTGGTCAATTCTGGAGATACGTTCCTCTTCTAGGAAGTCGACGCTGTCGTCTTTAAAAGTACGGGGGTCTCACCCCGAAGAGACCGTTCAAAGGACGGAGTTATCGACGAAGCCAAATCATATTTCTCGACCTGTTTGATCTACGATAACTTTCTGAAGACTCCACCATTGAAGCCCTGCCTGCGCCTCTGTAGAGCCCAGAGATACGACAAAAAGCACCAGGCTTGAACAACAGCACAGCAGTGTCTGCCGAGCCTACCCCCGGGACAAATAGACATCAGCTCCAAGAAAGCGTCTTCGACCGGCTATGACTCCTTGATAGCGATGACCTACAACGACGGGTGTTACTCGGATGCATTGGTAGGAACCAGTCTCACACCACCAAAGGTCCAACCACCGATGTGAGTACCTTTCTTGAAGATCGCATTTACCACGAGCCCAAGCTGCCCTCCCGAACCAACATAGACCTTCTCTCGAAGTGTGACCTCCAGCCAACCCTTCCCGATGTTTGACTCGTATTTGCTTCTCCCCAGTCGCGCACGAACCACTTTCTCGTCCAGTAGGACGGGCACTGCGTCAGGCGTAATTCTCACATCCAGCCACCGCCGCATGAAGTCAGACGCATTTCGGGGCGTTCCGGCCGAAAATATAATGCCTTCTGGCGCAGCAACGTCCGTCTCCCAGAAACACATGACGAACACAGCCGTGTACCACCCCGAAGCAATGGGATTGCATAAAGACTTAAAGCAAACTTCTTGGGCGCGAACGCAAGAATACACTTGTGCTGTATTTCCCTCTTTACGGGAAGGTACTGGAAGGATAAGTCGTGTTTCGCCCAGATCGTCCAAGATGATCCCAGGTCTTTGTAAGCATCTTGCTCGTTCTCTTATGTTGTCTTTCCCTGTATCAAGGTGGGTGAAACCCACACCCTCCTTAATCACATGGCCGGTCCTCTTACCAGTAACATTGTATGTAAAGCGCTCGGCTGGTATATCAATGGCGATTGGGTCAGCTGTAAGGCCAACAATGGTTCCCGCACATTGGCGAATCGATTGGACCTGAACCGGATCCCTGACATAATGCTCTGTCAACGCAGTAGCATCGCCCTCTTTCAACCATTGCTCCAGAGAGACATTCGGAAGACTTCGATCATTGTCATACCGGAAGTAGCTGACCTCAGTAGCGAAGTATCTGCGGTTCATCTCGTTCTCTACTCGTGCTATGCTTATGGCTTGCTTGGCGCACACAGAAACGATGGTCTGTGTGCTGCTTTGGCTCAGGGGAAACTGCAACTACGTTGTGTATGTTAGCATTTAGTTACTCGTGAGTAAAGAATTGGCATCCCAGGCAATGCGCTGTGGCCCAGGCAGAATGCCTCTATGTGCAGTCGTGGCGGATTGAGCGAACATACCCATGAGTTTTCAGAGTGTGGCATGGTTCTCAACCCCATACCAATGGACACAATCACTCCGATGGAACGCTGCTCCCACAATTCTTTTGCCGCGTGGTCTACCTCGCCAGCAGGATTTGAGAGCCCTATACCACTTTCCAGGTACGTTACAGGTGGAACCCCAAAGCTGAATTCGCCAAAGAACTCCGGGGTTGCACATGTTGCACACGTTGCTTCCCATATCCGCATCCGCCGATTGTTCGGGTCATACGTCGAAAGAGCACGCGGTATACCCATGGCTGTCTTGACGCTGGTCAGCATGAAAGCCCTGCAGCCACGCCGATCATCTTTCCTTTGAACTGTGTTTTGCCGGCGCACCCTTACGATGGTTGGTTCGAGGTTTGGAAACTCAAGGCTATCGTGTGCCGAGAGGTCGTGTTCAATAGGTTGATTTAGAAGATCGTGGGTATCCTGGTGCCATATGCTGTCTGCTCGGCCCAGAATTGGTGATTCGTTGGTCTCGGACTGTACATCAGGTTTATCCTCGAAAAGTGAATCATCCCACATCAACTCGTCCTCGTGATATCCCAAACTCTTTAATGCGCGTTTGACAGCGTTCTCTAACACGGATACCGAAAACTTTGGTGCCGATGACAGCGCAAGGCCAAATGCACTTGAGGGTTCCTTACATTCGGTTATTGCTTTTAGAATATCGTCATAAACATTGATGCAGCTTTTGATATCCAAGCGCAATCTACCGAGGAGCACTCCAATGAGACCCCCAACTCCAGTTCCACCAATGAGGTCGAAGTATTCACAAGGACGAAGGGAATCGTCGTCATACGGCGCTCGTAATCCCAAAGCCTTTTCCTCGGAACTGATGGTGTCGCAAAGATGGTCCAATATCGTGAGAGCGGAATATCCTCGCAAACCACCTCCTCCATCAATAGAGAGAAGTCGCAGAGGCCGACCGGCGCGATCCATGGATTGACGTCTGACGATACACGGTATTGGAATGTGTGAGGAAAATCGATCGTAAGATTGTTGTACCTCAATGGCTGAGCAGTATTGGCGGCCCGGCTCGGCAACTCGGAATATATCGCATACAGCTTTGCTTGCTACTTGCCATCTTTGCAACGGCTGGACCACTTAAAGGGACTTTGAAAAGGTGTCGGCACGAGGTTACCTGTTTACGCAAGGCCTGTAGCCATGCTGACGGCTGACAGCAGCGTGTGGCTGGGTGCATTAGCGTTGATAAGCCTGCATCAGTCCGACTGGCTGATCAATTTAGACCTCTGCGGCATCGCCTGATTTAGCGGGGCTGTGTCCAACATTCGCGGTCCTCGCTTTATGTCCTTCAGCCCTTCTATGTTCATTTCTCTGTTCCTGGACACACAAACGCCAGCCTAACATTCACGTCAAGACTCTTCAACGGGCACTGCGATATAATATCACCGCCCATTGTCAATTGATAGTCATTTCAATCCTGATGGGCCAATGGATCCTCTTACAGCTGTGAGCTTGGTAGGAACCATTGTACAATTTATTGACTTTGGCTCAAAATTGGTGTCGGCAGGCAAAGAACTGTACAATTCGGCTAGTGGCGCCCTTGAGCAGAATGTTCGAATCACAGAGGTTACTAGCGATTTGCAGGCGATATGCCTCCCCCTCCGGACAGCCAGCTCACCCTTCTCAAATCCAAATATTCGTGGCATATCGCCAAGCCATCAACAGGCGCTGCAGAGGCTGGCTGCATCATGCGTCGAAGTCGCCAACAAACTTATGCCTGTCCTTGAAGGACTGCAAATCCCAGCAAACACCACACACAGGACCTGGCATGCCATCCGTCAATCTATCAAGAGCACATTACAAAAAGAGGAAATATCTCAACTGCGGTCAACATTAGACATGCTTCAACAGCAGCTAAACACTAGGATGCTGGCATTTCTCAGGTAAGCTTTGCATATTTGAAGATCTAGGTCTCCCGCGTTCACCATGTGACCGTGTGCTGATATACATTCAGTGATGCACAATGGAATATGCAAACCGATATTCTTGAAATCAAGCGATCGAGCCGACGCTTGGAAGCTAACACTTGGATGAAAGCCGAAAGCATCAGGAATGACTTGATTTCGTGCTTGAGTGCTCGTACCCAAAGTCAAACACAACAGTCAGATATAATACTACAACACATCTCAGACCTCCAGAGTGAGTTGGAGAGAGGGTCTAAGCTGCATCGTTCGCTCCGTATTCTGGAGAGCTTACATTACGACTACCTAATCGAGAGAGAGTCAAAGATCATGGAGACGCATGCCCAAACTTTCCAGTGGGTCTTCGACGAAACCATCACAGTGTTTCCTCAGTGGATGGAATCTGGAAATGGTATATTCTGGTTAACAGGAAAAGCCGGCTCCGGAAAGTCAACCCTGATGAAATACATAAGCGACCATGAGAAGACGCGACGACTTCTTAGCTCTTGGACAGGAAAAGGCAATCTGGTGATTGCAAAGCACTTCTTCTGGGTAACAGGAAAAGAGTTAGAGAAGTCCCATGAAGGTTTGCTTCGCTCGCTGCTGTACCAGATCCTTAAGCAATGTCCGCACGAGATTCCAACAACTTGCTCTGAACGATGGAGTCGTGGCGAGCATTACGACAAAGATAAATGGACTCTTAAAGAACTCGGTCAGTGTCTCGAAAGCTTCAGTGGGTCACAGACCGGGACAAAAATGTTTCTCTTAATTGATGGCCTCGACGAGTATGAAGGTGAAGAAAAAGAGATCGTACACATCATTCGAAACTTGGCAAACAATCCCAGCACCAAAGTCTGCGCCTCAAGTCGACCGTGGGCTGTGTTCGAGAGAGAATTTGGGACATCCAGCAACAAACTGCTTCTTGAAGAACTTACCCGCGATGATATCAGACGATACGTCCAAGAAGAGTTGTCTCGGGATGCGGACTTTGCATTGCTTCGACACACGGCTCCTGAGTACGATTCGCTGACCCATCAAATCACTGACAAAGCAAAAGGTGTCTTCCTTTGGGTCTTTCTGGTAGTTCGATCGCTTCTGCGTGGCCTTGGGAAGCACGATAGCATCTCAGAACTCAAGAGACGAGTAGATGAGCTTCCAGCGGATCTCAATCAATACTTCAAGCGCATGATCGACAATATTGAACAAACATACCAGGACGAAACCAGTCGGATGCTCCTTGTTGCGACAATGGCATCTGAGCCTCTCCCAGTGACTGCATTAGCTTTCCTGCAGATGGAGAGGGACGACGGAAAATACGCTATTCGAGGCACTCTTCCATATATCTATGATAGCATCCTGAAAGTCAGGCTTGTGGAATGGAAGGGAAGGGTCAACAATAGGTGCACTGACCTTCTGGAGGTGCACGTCTGGAATGTTGGAGACCAATTCATGCGGGCACGAGTTGAGTTTTTGCATAGGTCTGTACGCGACTTCCTCCTTCAAGACGACATTACCAGGATGCTGCATGAACGCATCAAATGTGCGTTTGATCCAAGGACATCTCTTTGTCGCATCCAAGTCGCATTGATCAAGTCTTTACCGATGGAACAAGGATACGCGACGCAAGCTCGAACTATCTCAAAGCTCAGTAACGCTTTCGTCAGCTATGCCAGATCCGCAGAGCTCTACAATGACACGGCAGACGTGGACTTGAACGATGAGCTGGACAGATATCTTACAGGACACACCCAGGTACTCGACAAACACTGGACAGGTCAACCTATGAGCGAACAGTCACACAAAACCCACCCGTTTTTGAGGTTTGCCTTGAGTCAAGGACTTTACTTGTACGCCTGGCAAGTGATAGCCAGGGAAGATCTATCGGCGCAAAGCGCCATCTGTTCAGAATTGCTGCCTTATATCCTGCAGGCTCCGGAGGATGCAGAACTTGCGCTCAGAAAACAACGCGTCCGACTGTCCCTCCGCATCTTGGAGGCATTGTTGGAGGTCGGTATAGATCCAGATCAACGAATGAGATCGGCGGCGGGACGTGAAACCATATGGGTTCGTTTTGTCGAATGGTGCTGGGAAAGGGAAGCGAAAGCGGAATGGGATGAGCGGATTGAAATTAGCTGCGCGCAGCTTTTCGAAGATTTCTTGCGTGCCGGTGCAAACCCAAAAGCAATGGTGACAGTACCAAAGGCCATGTCGGTCCAAACAGCCATTCGACATGTGTTACCGAGGGACCGTGTCAGTCGTATCAAAGACTTGACAAAGTCTCTGCCAGATCGATCCTCCTTTGGCTACCAAATCACCCAGGTCTTTTCATCATCTCAACTCAGTCTCTCTGCAGCTACTTATCTCGTTTTCGTTATGATTGGTATCGTGTTAGCTAGATGGTCACTCTCCATAGAAGTTGCAAAGTAGAGAATGGACGAACCATGATGCAACTGCAAGCACATGTTTGACATTTGGCCATTGGATTAAGAGGTACTGACAGTAGCGAGTGTTAGGCAATCATATCTTGAATTGATCACATGGTTGATGACTAAGTGGCGAAGAGTGGCGACCTCGCATCCTTGAGATCGCTCTCCTCGTGCTTCAGCACTCAAACACCGCCTATAACTTCGCGCAGTATAGGGGCTACATTCTACTCCGATATTGCATATCAGCTGGCCCGTCCTCTGTGTTTGCCAAGCGCTGTATCAGGTGGTCTCTACGCGCACTGCAGCTTACCGTGCTCGCAGCCGTAATCTTACGTATTCCTCGCAGGACCTTGATCATGTAGCCACAAAGCCTTGATGCTAGGCTCCAGTGCAAATCCTGGATGATACTCTGTTACAAGATTCTGACGATTGTATCTCAATCGCAGTTGGCCGGCTCCATGACGCTAATGGTGGGTCGAGGCCTGTCCGCCATCCTTAGATGAGCTGGCACCCATGGTCACCCCGCACGTCTATACAAAGCTACGGCCTTGACATTCTCAGCCGTACACTCTGCTTCCGAGATGGAGTTATCATTGAATGTCCCGCCTATCGTACAATCAACGACTGGGTGATCAATTTGTTGGTTTTGTCCGAGGGCTATTTGTTGGCTGCGGCTCGAGGCGCTTTAATCGAGAGAGTTCATTGGTCAGATGGACCGCAGCCCGAAGGTGTGGTTTTGCGAAATTTGGCTACCCTTTCAAACCATCTTGCCTCCTCGGGTGCTGTGAGCGTCGGGGACAGGAAGAGGCATCTTCAACAGCCTTTAAGCCAACACTGATGATGGCTGCAATCAACCCGCGAAGCATGAAAGGTCGCGGCCTCTAGTGGTAAGGGTCAACAACCTCGAGTGACGAAGCACAATACAAGCATCGTACCGCATCGCAGTTCGACATACTTGTTTGACACATTGGAACACTATCCGGTACGGCTCTTACGCTCTTGGCCGCGCGCAGTGGCTCAGGCCTTCCCTGAGCTCAGCTCAATTCTCCAGCTCATGCGCACTTTAGTCACCCATCATCCACCTTGGACTGCATTGAAGCACGACTACAACTGCAGTAACCTACCCAATAAACAGGATCATCGTCCGGACTTATCAGACCTCACTGAAATGGTGCACCAAGTCAGGATCTCTGTTTACAACATTACTTAAACTTAGCGCGATATTCAAGGCATCCAAGGTGCAGCGATCGTTTGACAATCAGGAAATGATTGTACTCAGCCCTATAAACCAGACTCCTTCCGCGCAAGTTCATCATCGCAATGCACATGCAGAGCCCCATGCACAGCTCATGCAAGGCTGACTTCAGCTAAGCTGCATCGTGATCGAGCTGACACCCATCCCGGCTCAGCGTGGCGCAGCTCAACCATGCCCGGGAACCATCTGCCGTTTCCTGGCCAATCAACGCACATCACAGCAAGCAACTCTGGCCTTCTAATTTTGCATAAGCGAGCGGATATCGTGGTCTACTCGGTGATTGCCTCTACACTGAGAGTACTGCGTCGCACATCCGCGATGGCGCAGCCTACAGCCTATTTGGGTAAGCGGGCGCCTGCTCTGCCCCTACAAGGCACTCCAAGGACGGACTCCTGCATTGGCGAGATGATGGCACACCGTACTGCGGGGCGGCTCTACAAGCCAATTAAGAAGCGGAGTCTTTTTATCAGTATCGGTTCCCGAAGGACAAATCCGCGAACAACATTGTCGCCATTTCACCCACATCATCACTATGGCCTAATAAGCAAATGCTATCAGGAGGACCTCTAGCAACTGATTCACTTTCGAGACCGCTACCGCTGTGTTCAAAAGAGCAGTTCCTAAGGAAGGGCAATTGTCATTGAGAGATCGGATTTGCGCTGCTTATCCCGAATCCTTTATCGCACGCGCACACAGCACCAAAGCACCCAAGACCATAGCAGTCGCTCCATGATTGAAAGCCAGAATATCTCTCAGGCTACTGAAGGTCATTGAGTCGGTAGTTGCACTACATAATGGGTTCTATCACTGCGAGGAAGAATTCCCAAGCGCCGTTGCGGCTGCTGTCATTGGATGGAGGGGGTGTACGAGGCCTTTCCTCTCTGATGGTTCTTCGCGACTTGATGCAAAGCATTGCGTTGGAGGAGAAGAGACTTGGACGGCGGGCTCAAGCGGACCACGAACCATTGAGGCCTTGCGACTACTTCGATCTGTGAGTGAACACACCGCATTGTTATTTGTCTCCATACTCATAAACTCCTAGCATTGGTGGCACATCAACAGGTGGCATCATCGCCATTCTACTTTCTCGGTTGCGCCTCAACTGCGAGCAATGCATAGACATCTATTTGAAGCTGGCACAGCAGATCTTCAAGCGTGACCGGTCGTTCAACGCATTTGGATTGAAGATACCAACAGGAGCAACACGGTTCTCTGGGACTGTTCTCGCGGATGCAATTAAATCATCGCTGAAAGAGCTAGGGTTCGATGAAAATGAGCTACTGTGGGATGAGGCACTCTTTGAAGAGGTTGAAGATGCTGCCGAAGCAAGGAACAACAGCATCTGGGCGGACCAGACGCCCGACTTGATAGTCACTGAGAGCCTTATAACCACCACAAAGCATCACGAGGGGGCAATGCAGTCTAGGCCTGCCTCGTCTACGGACAGGCCTGAGTCAACCTTATACAGCGACAGTTCCTTCACACCAAAGCCGCTGCCACAACGAAGCGACACATGGAAACTTCACAAACGTCAATCCGTCCATCGCAAAGCAAATGCACCCGGTTGTCGCGGCTTTGTACTCACATCACTCAAAAATGCTCTTGGCCTCCCCAGAATTTTGTCCACGTACGATCCCAACGACCGCACCACACGCATCTGGGAAGCCCTACGCGCCACCTCTGCAGCCCCCACCTTCTTTGAGGAGATGCAATTTGGCACCCCTAAGGTGACATACCTCGACGGCGGCGTCGGCTTTAACAACCCCTGCGCCGAAGTTGATTACGCCGCCAAAGCTCTCTGGGAGGAGCGTTCAATTGGTGTCATTGTTTCGGTGGGTACCGGTCTTCAAAGTTTGTCCAGCGTCAAGAAGACGGCGGTGTGGTTACCGTTTGGCCTCGGCACTGACATCTCTCTCGCCACCGCGCTGGCAGGCATGGCAACCTCCACTGCACGAGTGGACAATGAGATGCGCCGAATGTACCATAACTCTGACACCAAGTATTACCGCTTTGACGTTGATCGCGGGCTCGCCAACATCAGTCTCGAGCAATGGATGAGAGAAGATGAGATGGCTAGCTTGACAGAGCAGTACATGCAGGACGGTGAGCAGGTGCGCAAAGCGAGGGAGTTCGGAGAGGTTGTGGCGAAGCTGTCCGCCTTACCACCGAAGTTCGAGATCCCACCGACGCACTTCAGACTCGGTATCAGCGGTCACGGCCTCCGCGACGACACATTCCGCCTCGTACAAGTTGACTTCAAGACTGGCATTCTCTTTGGTGTCGAACCTCATCTCTCTGACTTTCCAAAGATGTCTCAATTCCGTACCTCTTCACCCTCCGGCGAGGGCGGCCTCACAATTGACAACAATGGCGAATTGCGGAAAATTTACCCCGTAGCTACAGACCTCGACCACGACGGCCGGCGCGAAGAAGCATCAGTATACCAGTGCGTCAAGGCGACTAACATCTGCATACGCGAGATAAAGACTGGTATTCCGCCGGGCAAGTACAAAGTCCAGTTCGTTGTCGCATTCCACGAAGCTGAGCACAGGCCTCCACACGATCTTGTCTTCAGTGTCGGTCGTCCCTTCGAACCACATACGTTTAAAAGCCGCTTCGTAGATGTTAAGATTACTCCAGACGTTGCAGCGGTCCTTTTGCATCCAGATGCAGTGCGTGTCAGGGCGGGTAAGAAGAGGTATGAAGCGAACAAGGGCAGGGGTTGGATGGAGATTGAAGGTGATATTGAAATCAACGTTGGCCTTGACGGTGCACTGGGCTTCATTGTGAGCAAGCGGTTTGAAGAGGGAGTGTTTGTTGATGGGTGGAGCTTTGGAGGCGTACGGCTTGAACCAGTGTTTGGGGAGAAGCTAATGAGTTCGCCGAGGATATTGACATAACTGTCGATACCTTGACTGTCCTGGGCGATCCCATCATTGCCTATGGCTTACAGGTTGTCAGAAGCAAATGGTCATTCAGAGGTGAAGGTACTCTTGACGGCCAAGTCATACGATCCTGGAGATGCTGGATTCATGAACAAGAAGGACGATGTGGACGAATTTCAGGGGGACTCCACGGAAGTGTTGCCAGACGATATTACCGACTTTGCTGAGAAGCAATACTATGAGTGAGTGGACTATGTAGAGCTCGAGGACGAAGAAGAAGAATGGATTCTCGCTGTTCTGGAAGAGCAAATCTATGGTAGCAGTATTCGGAGGAGCACTTTGCCTATTTTGCGTGTCCTTTTGGTATGGTACAGGACACAAGGCTAATCCAAGACCTTTACGCGCCTGTTGGATACTGCAGTTTACAAAGATCTTATCACATTGCCAATAGCGCACGGATCAGCATTGAATACCTCCTAAAATCTGAATCTGTGGCCATCTGTTCAGACTGAAAATGGGTCCGCCAAATCAGATAACTCCACTAAAACTATCCACTGGCTTTGTAAACATTCGCCGAACAACAGAAAGCCCTCGAAGAGATCACTTCTCCCGTACTTTAAAGCGGCTTTCGACGCCTCAATTACAGAGAACAATATCCAAGGAGGATTCCGAGGCCCTGGCTTAGTCCCGTTCAACCCAGAGGCTGTGATAGAGAAGCTTGAAGTGCGCCTGTGTAATTGGAAACTTCTACCGGTACGGTACTGAAGATGCGGGGTTCGAGTGGGCTGAACTCATCAGCTGAAAAGCAGCTGACAGTATTGCGCTATGACAGCCGCAGCTGATACAATGGCGCCATGGCACCCGCAGTTACATCAGACTAACATCAATGTTCTATTATATCTTCTTGCGGCAAACATATTCTTGAGCCTTCGTTTGTCTCATGACCCGCCACATCGTCATGAGCGATTGCGCCAACCTCCATTCGCCATCATCATGCACCGATACTCCGTTCGACCAAGATACAGTTGTTGGGTTCTTACCAGAGCCGAATTGTGGTCGGGGAACAGCTGGGATTATTTGGAATTGTCTTGCAGTCATGGTTTTCTCGGCGTGGACCATAATTCATCTTGACACCAAACCGCTTCCCTCTTCACTCTGGTGCAAGCCGTTTCTACAGAGAGTAACCAATCTTTACTGGAAACCATGGAGGAGAGTTTTTGGATATTATCGGGATGGATGCAACCCGACAGCTTTCCCGGGATATTTCGGGAGAAAATCCCTCGAGGCACTGGTTGTTATCCTGTTTCCTGAATTCGGTGTCTTGGTTGCTATCGAGGAGTTCTCAATTGCCCAGCTGATACAAAGTACCACAAGGTGCGTCGACGGCTGGGAGGCATTTACGCTCAGACAAGCGCATCTTATCCAGATGGGAGGCATTGACCTTCCACAAATCGAGAGACCGGAGGATTTCGCTCAATTCGTGGCTCAAAACGTATCCTTGCTGGATTACAGCCTATTCCCAAGCGAGGACCAAATAGCTTTACGCGCAAAGAAAGACTACATGGATAAAGCAGTTGCACTAGTCCAAGTAGTCTACTTCATTTCGAACCTCTCTGTCCGCGCTGCGCAATCCTATCGTCTTGCCGTCCTCGAGATGCTCACCTTGAACTATATCATTTACGCAACCGTTATGTTCTTGCTGCGCCTCAAGAAACCTCAAGAGTTGCAAGAAGCTTTTGAGCTTGATGTAGCCAATTTCCCATCGACTTCAGCCTCCGCCGTCCCCGACAACTACGAGGGAACACGACATCGAAAATTTGAGAGATGGACTTGGTGGTGCATGGTTGTGTCCATCATCTCCGTCAATATCTTTTCGTTCACAATCTCGCCTTGGAGTATGTCGAGGAACAGCAATGGCTTTGAGCCAATATTCACTCTCCTTTGCGGACTTGGTGTAGTTGCCATCTTGATGTTTATGACCAAAGCAAGGTTCGAAGACGATCATGGGCAATGGTACGAGAAGAGCTTCGCGAAAAAGTTTTGCTGGTATACAAATGTGCTGGTTATGTACATTGGTGGTTTCCTATACGTTAGTACCCGGATATACATCCTAACCAGAGCGTTCCAAATTTTCAATGTAGCACCAGCTGGCATTTATGCTACGCCATCATCATGGACGAGCTACATTGGTCATATTGGCGCTTAGAGGCGAGTCGATATTGCTTCTTGTGAAACTAGGCTTTGTAACATGTTACATTTATATGTGGGTGAGCAGAAGATAGTGGACTGAGCTTGATTGCAATGTCACGGAGAAATATACGGCTATGTACAAGTACATGATGCCCTGTGTGCAAGATCATGTGGCAGTACATATTATGTTGCAGTATATGCAGTAAATGAAGGTGTAACCGCGCAGGGCAGTAAGTCAGGGCGGAACCGCGCAAAGCAGTAAAATCAGTATATTGTGTTGTTCTTCTGTTCTGTGGTCTGTCATTACCTCTCACCCAGGCCATCGGCAGGGTCTGTTTACATCACATATCTATGTTGCAGTAATGGCAGAAGGTGCTTGTTGAAATGAGCAAGAACACTGCACCAAAACACGTGGCACACATGACCTCCTTACTCCATAAACTGTCACACCCCCTCATCCTGCAGTCAATCCATGGCGGAAGAATGAACTCCTCAGTTACCTTTCTTGTAGCGGCAACGGCCACTGTAGAATACTGATAGCTACGGTAAACGATATCGTAGGACTATCGGGTCGATGGAATACTGCGCTGTATTGATGTCTAGCTAGGAGGCGACGATATATACACGACTTGAAACGTGCTAAACATGACCCGTTACAAACGTGTGTATTGAGGCTCATGTGCGACGTATATTGCAGCAGTCTGATACCGCAACATTTCTCCATCTCCAGAACCTTTCACCATATGTCCACAAGATGTAGTTGTTTGACAAACTTGTTGTGCTTCTGATGTGGGAGCATCCTGGTCATGCTATCAGCTGGCATCTGGTTTGTGGATCTCCATTGTACCTAGAGGCAAAGTTCTTCAACCTCCTGGCGGATCCAGTTCTGGTGAATACCAACATGCTTGAGTTTGGTGCTGAGTTTGTCCTGCTCCTTTGTACCTATCCCCACAGTCTGCTGATTGTCAAAGGACAGTGTATTGAAGAAATGGCACCACTCTTCCATCTCTGATCCAGCAAGGGATAGAGTGTCACGGGTACTTCCCCTTACATGTACTGGCCAGCCCTTGGACAAACTCCAGAGCTAGACCGGAGGCTCACAGGCCACCTGTATATATTCCTGTTGCGATTCATGCCTTAAGCAAAGCTCATAGACACGATTCGATTGGATCTTGGGGATGAGCAGAGGTACAGAAAGCCGTAGGGGTTGACAGTCACCTAAGCAAAGCTCGGGCGGTCAGGGGTAGACTATCTGGGCAGGTTGTAATAACCTTTGTAATAGTCAGGTAGTTGTCTAGTCAAAGACCATGACAACTGGTTACAATGAGTAGTACAGAGTATACTGTCTGGCTTGAGAGCAAGTGAGATTCCAATAACAAAGTTGATTGATGAGGTTGAACACAATGCCATAAGGGTGTTACAATCCATGAACAACTCGCAAAATAACACTGAACAAACAGGACTACGCAACGAGACAAGAGCAGCCAAGGAACTGCAGTATTGATTGACCAAGCTGTGAAGCCGCGTCAGTGATGTAATGGGCTAGGCCCATTGTTAGCGCCTCGGCAACAGCACAGGTGTCATCCTGACATGGCTTGCAGCCAATAACAATCCACCCAGTCACACCTCATGGAACATCATGGAACCTCATGGAACCTCATGGAATCCCATGGAACCTCATGGAACCCCATGGAATCCCATGGAACATCATGGAACCTCATGGAACATCATGGAACCTCATGGAACCTCATGGAACCTCATGGAATCCCATGGAACCTCATGGAACATCATGGAATCCCATGGAACATCATGGAATCCCATAAAACATCATGGAATCCCATAGAACAACACAGAATCTTCTGGTTGCTGACAAATGATTACAAATGATTACAAATGCCAATGTATATAGAACATCCCAGGAGCCAGCAGTCTGTCTATAAAGGCAGCCTGCCCTCCTGCTCAGATAACTCATGCTTGCAATTCAAAACTCAATCCACTCCTTCAATTCACCTCAACAACTCCTTCCTCAACTCACTCCTCACTGATCCTTTGTGGTATTCCCACACTTGATCCCTTCTTTATCACTTATCCTTTTTACCACTTGTGGTATCCCCACACTTGGTCTCCTCTACACCCTTATCTCCAACAAGCCTGAACCATCCTTCCACCAATCCTTCCATCTCAGAGAGCAGTTGGTATCCCCAGCTGGCCCCCTCTCACAACAGGCCTCGGTACCTCCGAAGCAGACGTACAACCTCCGGTCACCTCCAGAGTGGGCCTGCAACCCCCAAAGCAGGAGTATTAGAATTCTGCAAGTCCTGCTCTGGGACTTGCCCCTTATCAAATCCATCAAGTTCTACATCGCATATTGCCCTCAGTGGCTCGCCCCTTACAAGTGATACCCAGTATAATCGACACTCGCAATATCTGTTATACAAACCAAGATTGTACGAAAAGGACTGCAGTGGATACAACGTGGATCTCGTACACAAACAATTGTCATGGACCCATATACCGACCCACTTGCAGAGGACCCACGTCGACAACAATCAATAGGACACCGAGGACCAAGTATTGAGGTCACATCTACAATGCTCAATTGGACCAAGTATCAAGTCACTGGCAATACTTGATATGAGCAGTACAATCAATCCTCCTGTCAAGTATATAAGCAAGTAGACACGCTGCCCTTATGGCATTGTGTTCAACCTCATCAATCAACTTTGTTATTGGAATCTCACCTGCTCTCAAGCCAGACAGTATACTCTGTACTACTCATTGCAATCAGTCGCCATGGTCTTTGACTAGACAACTACCCCCTGATTATCACAGAGGTTCATCACGGTCAAACCTCTGCCACTCCGAGCTCGCTCAGTGATAACCAACCCCTCACGGCTTTCTGTACCTCTGCTCATCCCCGAGAACCAATCGAATAGTGTCTACGAGCTTTGCTTAAGACACTACTTCAACAAGCCTGTGGTACGCTTTACCAACACAGCAGGTAGTTGAGGTGTTGTCAATTCTTTTAGTCACCCCTGACAACTGGGGAACGGCCTGTGGTACGCTTTACCAACGCAGCAGGTAAATGGTGCAGGCACAATAGAGGCAAAGAGCAACAAACTGAGGTAAGAAGCAGCCAACTGTGTCGCCCAAACAGCCGGCTTTCTCAAGCTCCGGGCAAGGGGCAGTGACACAGCCTGATAGCATGCAACCTACAATAGCAATTGCCAATTGTGAGTCTTTGGGCCTTTGTCTCTCTGTCTTCAATTTGTCTCTGTCTTCAATATGCCTGTCCTCAACTTGCCTCTGACTTTGATTTGCCTGTCTTCAACTTGCCTCTGACTTTGATTTCTATGTCTTCCATTTGTCTCAGTCATTGATTTGCCACTGTCTTTGAACCTCTGTTTCACACTCTCTTTGAACCTCTGTTTCAATTTGCCTGTCTTGGATTTGCTCCTGTTTTGTCTTTGGCTCTGTCTATGAGCCTCTGTATTCAATTTTCCTCTATCTTTGATTTGCCTCTGGTTCCATTTGTCCTAGTCTTTGGTTTGCCACTGACTTTGAGCCTGTGTTTTCAACTTGCCTGTCTTGGATTTGCCTCTGTCTCTGAGCCTCTTTTCACCTCAGTGTACCCGCCACCACCCAGGCGTGGTACTAGTAGGTTTAGTAGCTCTAGCTTGCTCATATAAGCTCCAAGCAGATTGCGGCAGAAAAAATTTCAGAGGTTGGTTTTTGTATGAGAATCTGGGGATACCTGCACAGTGTTATACAAATCTGAATTTACTAGCACCTTTAACCTACTAGCACCCAACCTACTAGCACCTTAAGCCTCCTATTTCCTCTGACCTGCTAGCACCCTGAACCCACTAGCACAAATATAAGATTTATGGTAATGTACTCTTATTTTATATTGTAGTTATTCTTGATTGTCAAGGCTCTTTCTCTTCCCTTCCTCAATCTTGTCCTCTGCATCAGGCTCAACAATATAGAAGTCTTTGTACTGTGATGGCTTTGCTGACTGCATTGCAAGCTTGTCTGTCCATAACGTAAACACTGTTTGGACAGCATTAGGAATCTTGAGATCAACCTCAAGCTTGTGCAATTGCTGGTTGGCAAGAAAGAATACAACATCTCCAGGGCGCACATAGAGCTGGTAGCCAGTCTCAGGGAGCTTAAGCAAGCCACCAGTTCCAAGGACAAGGATCATTGAGTAGAAATGGCCTGTAGATCTTAGCAACTATTCCTGAATAAGTGGCTTAACATACCATCATCTCCATCATCATAATGATAGCTTGTGCCAGCACCTGTAGATATAGAAACTGCCATCATGCTCCCAATACCGCCTAGACGATGAGAAGAGGTGGGGACATTGTCCGGATCCTTAGCAAACCATGACCTGTGTGCCTCTGCAGCTTGAAGCTGGTTGACACCTGACAAGGTGTGTTTGAAGATGTCTCTGTGACTGGATCTCATGCGATTGTAAGTTGATTCGTCAACCTTGCGTAGGTATGCAGCAGCCTTATCAAGGCTCTGATCTAGGATTTGTATGAGATTCTTGATGCCCCTGTCAAGGACAGGATTCTTCTGCCTTCGTCCTGCTAACACAAATGGTGTACTAGAGTACTTGCGCCACAACCCAATCCAGGCTTGGAGGAACGTATCTCCATGGGCTGCAGTTGTTTTGAATGGCATTTTAGCCTGTAATTATTAGTATACGTACTAGAATAATTTGCCAATGATCATACATCTTTAAGCTCCTTCACCTGAGCCAGCAGCTTCTGTGCCTCATTTTGGGACACACAGCTCTTGAAGCGAATTGCAGTGTATTGTGGAATGTCTGAGTTGGCCACATAGTTTGGATTTGGGATACCAGCATGGGTGATGGTGCTGTTGTGAGGAATTGTGATCAATGGCCTATCCTCAAGGGCTTTTTGAGCTGCCTTTCCTAGGCGAGGTGCTTATCAAGTGGCAAAATGTGGGTTAGGGTTAGGATTTTTTTTCTTGAGTTTCCGCTGCTGGAGGATACAATAGAGGTTTCTGAGCACAACGCTATCCTCTACTAAGCTCTATATGCTGTGGTTGTGGTGCTATTACAGTTTGAAGTTTGGGTACCTATGGTGGGCATCCTGATTTGGTAAGGTCAGCCTTCAAGGCACGCTAACCCAAATAGTAGTTTTGGCTGAATCACCATCACCATCACTCTTTGCACCAACACACAGCTGCATCAAGGTAGGTTACACATAGACATAGCTGCAAGGAACTTGTATTACATCTTTGATATGTTTTTTGGCCATGCACAGGAAGATAATAGCTGGTTTTTGTAACGACACAGGTAAGAGAGGACTCCGATATGGGTTCGAATCCGCTACGAGGTGTATGGGAGCAC